GGGATTATAGGTGTGAGGCACTGTGCCTCGCCCTTTTCCTGCTTTGTTGGTCTATTATGTGCATTTTCATAAGATAGGGATTCTGGCTAAAAAGCCTTTAATATTTATCTTTTTCCTACCACATAAGCTGCTTTTCTGGCTTTCAAGGTCCTTACACATCCAGGCCCTGCCATTGATTAGTTGGGTCAGTTTGGGAACACACAATTTCTTTGGGCTCCAGTTCCCAACATAAAAAGGTTAATAGAAAATTTAAATGAAGAAAGCATAGAAGGTGCTATGCACGTACCCAACAGTAAAAACAATAGCAGAACACTAAATAAAATTTGGTGTGGCTGCCTAGCTCACAGCAAATTCCCTGGTGGTCACATCTGTATAACATCTTTCCTTCTATCATTTTGGACATGAATTCTGAATGGAGACTGTCATCAGCTCCAAGACCTGGCAGTAGTGATTGGCTGAGGCATGAGCACATGAGTCTAGTCCAACCAATTAGCCATTACTTCAGATGTGTCAGGAATATTGACTCTTTTCATCATTGCAGGGTACTTAAAATGTGTCACTGGAGCTACTGGATGTAGTAATGGAGAAAGAAAAAGACATGTAGAAAACAATAGAGAAAAAAGAGATTATTACTGGCAACAATTAAGTTCCTGGCCCCATTGGCGTCAATGATATGTTTTTTTTTTTTGGTTTTTTTTTTTTGGTGCCAAAAATTCCCCTAATATTTAAATATTTTATTATAAGCAGGAATAGCCTTATAATAAAGATTTACGAAATATTAGAATTTGAACATGAACCTAATTTTTGCTCAATTGCATAGTTTTCTTTCTTCTTCTTCTTTTTTTTTTTTTTTTGAGACAGTCTTACTCTGTCATCAAGGCTGGAGTGCAGTGGCACAATCTTGGCTCACTGCAGCTTCCATCTCCCAGGTTAAAGAAACTCTTGTGCCTCAGCCTCCTGAGTAGCTAGGATTATAGGTGTGTGCCACCATACCCAGCTCATTTTTGTATTTTTAGTAGAGACAGGGATTCACCATGCTGGCCAGGCTGGTTTCAAACTCTTGGCCTCAAGTTATCTGCCCACCTTGGCCTCCCAAAGTGCTGGAATCACAGGCATGAGCCGCTGCACCTGGCTGTAGAGACTTTTTCTCCTATTTTTTTTTTCCAGAATAAACAATTGTTACCCTCTCAGCAGCTATGAAAATGTACAAGGAGTCTTCCAAAAGTACATGGAAAATACATATCATGAAAAACATATGCATGGATTTTAATTTTTCCTTTTTTTTTTTTCCTTTTTGAGACAGAGTCTTGCTCCACTGCCCAGGCTGGAGTGCAGCAGTGGCATCTTGGCTTACTGCAACTTCTGCTTCCCAGGCTTAAGCAAGTCTTGTGCCTCACTCACCCAAACTGTTGGTATTACAGGCGCATGCTCCCACACCGGGCTAATTTTTGTATTTTTAGAAGAAACAGGCTTTCACTATGTTGGCCAAGCTGGTTTCAAACTCCTGGGCTCAAGTGATCCACCTCTCCCAGCCTCCCAAAGTGCTGGGATTACAGCCATGAGCCACTGTGTCTTGCCAGATTTCAATTTTTTTTTCACCAACATAAACTTATACTAACTTGTTATAAGGTATCTGAACAGGACACAGTGTGCAGCACTAAGAAGGATAAGACCTTAGTTTGAAAAGAGCCCCTATGGCTGGGCACCGTGGCTCATGCCTGTAATCCCAGCACTTTGGGAGGCCGAGGTGGGCGGATCATGAGGCCAGGAGTTCAAGACCAACCTGACCAATATGGTAAAACCTTGTCTCTACCAAAAAAATACAAAAATTAGCCAGGCGTGGTGGTGCATGCCTGTATTCCAGGTACTCAGGAGGCTGAGGCAGGAGAATCACTTGAACTGGGAGGTGGAGGTTGCAGTGAGCTGAGATCATGCCACTGTACTGCCATCTGGGCAACAGAGGGAGACTNAAAAAAAAAAAAAAAAAGAAGAAGAAGAAGAAGAAAAGAGCCCCTTTTAGAACAACAGGAATACTCTTAAAATTGAGGCAAGAACAAACATCAATTTTATGGTGAAGCTTCCATGCAAGAAGGGTGAAATCACTGATGCTTTATGAGTAGTTTATGAGGACAATGCCACCCCCCAAAATCAGTTTACAAAGGGATAACTTGTAAAGAAGGGCCAAGACAATAAAGCCCACAGTGGCAGACCATCCACGTCAATTTGTGAGAAAAAAATCTTGCTGGTACCCTAACTGAAGAAGACTGATGATTAACCGCATAAACAATAGCCCATACCACAGACATCTCAATTGGTTCAGCTTACATAATTCTGACTGAAAAGTTAAAGTTGAGCAAACTTTCAACTCAATGGGTGCCCAAACCATTGGGCCCAGATCAGTTTCAGGCAAGAGGAGAGCTTTCAGTATAAATTTTAAACAAGTAGGATCAAGACCCTAAAACATGCCTTCAAAGAATTCTAACAGATGAAACATGGCCTTACCAGTATGATCCTGGAGACAAAGCACAATCAAAGCAATGGCTACCAAGAGGTAAAAGGGGTCCAGTCAAAGCAAAAGCAGATCAGTCAAGAACAAAGGTCATGGCAACAGTCAATATTCAAAACAATTTGCTTGACTTTCTGGAGGGACAATGAACAATAATATCTGCTTATTATCAAAGTGTTTTTGAGAAAGTCAAAGCTTTAGCAGGAAAATGCTTAACAAAGCTTCATTAGAGAGTCCTTCTCCACCATAATGCACCTGCTCATTCTTCTCATCAAATAAGGGCAATTTTGTTAGGGTTTTGATGGAAAACCATTAGGCATCTACCTCATATTCCTAATTTGGCTCCTTCTGACTTATTTTTGTTTCCTAATCTTAACACCTTTTTAAAAGGTGCACATTTTTATTGTTATTAACATTATTAATGTAAAAAAGACTGTATTGACATGGTTAAATTCTCAGGACCTTCGGTTCTTTAGGGATAAACCAAATGGCTGGTATTATTGCTTATCATCTGGAACTTGATAGATTTTATGTTGAGAAATAAAGTTTATATTTTTAAATTTAATCTTTAATTCTATTTTCCACAAACTTTTTGAAGTACCCTGTAGTTGCCATCATAGTGATAATATATCGTAATGGTCCTTCAGAGTTTTCCATGGCCTTTCATATCATTATCTTATCTGACTGTGTGAGATGAGTAGGCCAGGTAATGTTAAGCTTAGTTTTTTAGGAATGTTGAAACTTAACACACAGAGAGGTTAAATGATGTCCATGGTGCAGAAGGGTGAGAACCCAGCTAGGTCTGAAGCATCATCTATAAGGAGGGCTCCGTGCCTACTATAATGCAGATGGTACATCATAAAACACTTTCATTAATAATTGTTAATTAGAAAATTTACATAGCTTCAATCACAAAATCCATTAAAATGCATATTCCATCCATAAATTCATACTCTCGAATATTTACATTCTCCTAAAAATTAATCTTTGCCATGTTCCTAATCAGGTTCTCATCGTGTTTTTAAATTCTAGAACTTTAACATAAAGCAGAGAATATTTGGGGGAAAGAGGAAGAATGTATTAATTCCTGACTCAACATCCATACTGCTTAACAGGCTTACTTAAAAATGAGGGTAAATCCTAACACTCTTAGACTAAGATAGAACTGGACTGGATTGGATATGGCACATAGGTAATCGTTTACAAAGCTAATTTATAATCACAAAGTACCCTAGTAATATTATCACAACACCTTTGTTTTGGAGAACTCAAATGCTTTCACAACATTAACTCATTCACCCTCACTGAACTGATAAGGAGGGGTTCAGTGACAAACAGCATCCCTATTTATACGCTAGAGTTGAAATAAAGGGGAAAGGAGCTACTGAAGAGAATGCAAAGCAAGAGCAGTTTAATTTCCTTTTTAGCCTCATTATGATGGTTAGATCACAGTTACGAGAATTCCTCCATTTTAAGTAGAAAATATCACGACGAGGGACGTAATTTTAGCTGAGAAATCCTTTCAATGGAACCATGGCATGGCTATGTCAAATAATACTGGAAGGGTCGTATTATCAGTTAATCAGGTGTTTTTGATCTTGCACTCTATTTTCATTTTTTTTGCGTGGCTAAAGCTAAGTTTTTTTGTTATAAATGCAGCATTATAATAACCTGATAGTCCTGACGAAGATCTCCATTCCTCTAGACTGCCATTAGGCTCGAATCGATTCTCTAAATAAAGTCCATCCCAAGAGACACAATTGATGTAGGGGAAGAGGGGACTTTTAAAAACCGAGCCTGACGTCACACGTCTGTGTTTTAACCATCTGCACCTTTTATAAACCAGGGGCTGGAACCGCCCGGGCAGACAGACCTAGGCGCACAACAATCTTCTCCCACACGAGCCTGGAATGGCAACAGCGTGCGGCTGCCTAAGAAAGAAAAGCCGTTTCAGAGCTGCGGGGTGGCGTGGGGGTGTGTATGGCAGGGTGAGGGAGTCATTCCTCTTCTCCTCCATCCAAGGATGCTATTTATTGGAAATCCTGCACTTTTTTTTTTTTTTTTTTTTAAAGAAAATTGGTTTCTGTCGAGTGGGAGGCAAAACCCTTCAGATACGAAAGACGGGGTGGAGGGAGCAAGCCTGGCTGGGGAGCTTTCAAGGGAAAAACCACACAGTTTAGCTTCGGATTGGGACTGCAGGCAGAAAAAGGATTGGGTGTCCACAACCTGTTCGGCTGCGAAGACGACGCCCTTCCGTCCAGAGTGCCAGCATCACCCCCGCCCCTCATCCGGTCTCGGCCTGCAGCCCCCCGGGAGGAGAGCAGCGCCCCCCATTCCGTGACCACCTTTCATCCCACTCCTTGGCTCCCTCACCCTCCCCAAACCCAGGGGCGCATTCTCACGCTTTTTCCACGTGCAAGTCCGGCTCACCGGTCGCCACTCGCCGCAGCCCCCAGATGCCCACCCCTCCTATCCCTTCCGGCCCCTCACCCACCTCCTCAGTCTTGCCCTGGCTGAGGTAGGCGTCCGCCCTCTACCTCCACGTGCGAGTCCCGGGCCGTTCCCCACCCCGCTCCTCCCCGGGCTCCGCCCACCACGCCTGAAGCGCGCGCCCGGGAGCCGGGACACCTGGCCGCCCTCCCGCGGCCCGCGCCCCTCCCGACTCCCCCGCCCCGCCCGCGCCGCGGCTCCGCGCCCACCCTCGCGGCTTCCTCCCCCCCGCCCCTCCCTCCGCGGGAGGCGGGGGGTACCAGCGAGCGCGGCGGCGTGGCCAATGGGCGCTCGGCTTACTCTGGCCTCTCCCCCGCGCGGCCGCCAATCGCGGCAGGCGGTGGTGGTAATATTGTGGAGTTTGGATGCCGCCGCTGCCGCGGGCTGGAACGGCGCGACCGCGGGGGCTGCCAGGGTATTTCGGGAAGGGGGCGTGAGGAGGCGGCGGCGGCGGCAGCGGCGGGTAGGGCTGCTCCGGGAGGCAGCAGAGGGAAGGAGAAAGAAAGGAAGGAAGAGGGCGGGGAGTCCTCAGAAGAGGAGGCGGGACCGGCCGGGCTCCTCACCTCTCGGCGGCGGCGGCGGCGGCGGTGGCGGCGGGCGGCCTGGGAGGCGGCGCCGCCCCCTGCCCGAGGTCTCCTCAGCGTAGCCGGCCGCCGACCCGCCGGTCCAGGGCAGCGGCCGAGGCTACTGGGGCGGAGCGGTGGGCCGGGCGGCGGCGGCAGCGGAGGCGGTGGAGGCTGGAGTGGGCGCGGAAGCGACCGCCATGGCGTTCCTCAAACTCCGCGACCAGGTAGGTGAGGGGCGGCAGGGCGGGATCGCGCCGTCTGGGGAGAAAGGGAAGCAGGACGGACGGGCGGTGTGTGCCGCCTGGGCGCCCCCTCGGCGGGGTGGATGCGAGAGAAACGGAGGTCCCACCCCTGGGACCGGCGCAAGGCGGCGGGCCGGGGTCCGCTGGCGACCCGCCTGTCAGAGCCGCCGGGGCCCGGGTGAAGCCCACGTGCAGCCAGGGGTCTGGCCGCCGCAGCGAGAGGGGCGGGTTCCAAGCTCACCGCCCTCGCGTCGGGAGAGCTGCCGGGCAAGCTCTTCCTCTTTTTTGCCAGGTGAGGCTCAGGCCTAACAGGTGGCTTCCCGCTGCCGGGCGGGAGCGGTGCTAGCGGCCGTGACCCAGGGTCACGACCTTGCTCTGTTTGCTTGGCTGGGTAGTATGAGGCACTCTCTCCGGGTTAAAGGCAGTTGATTCTGCTTAGCGACTAGCTACTCAGTGCTAGTTTCCAGACTTGTTTTCTTTTGACATTTTGTGCACCATCTTGTTACTTTTCTTGACTTAGGAAGAGCTGGTCAAGGAATACCTGTGCCAAAAACACTTTTGACTCTCTGGAACTGCAAAAATGCTTTGTATCTAGGAACGAAATCGCAACTGTATCTGAATGATTGGTACACCTAAAAACTTGGAAAGATGGGTAATAAGGCTTTTGAAAGATCCGGACGCTGCCAAACATTTTTATCCTCTTTTAAGGAAAAGGAAAATTAATGTGTGAAATTTACACATTACTTTGTCACAGGACACTGACTAGTGCTGAGAACTTAATTTTTGCCATTTGTTTTCCTGAACGGAAGATGTTGAACAGATTTAAAGGGAAAATAACTTGCATGCTTTGGAAAACTATTTTGAAAGTGAGCACCCCATTTGCAAAAACAATGGGGAAGAACCTGAGACGTATTTTTCATATTACTTAGTAAGCATTGTACCTTAAATTTTGAATCTAAGTAAAATGAAGAATTCTCATTTCATAAGTGAATTTTATTTTATGTTTAGGCTGATCGCTGACCTTGTGTAACATTTGGTATCAGAATGGTCATGCCTGTTGTTAACAGCGTGAGGGCATGAAACTGAAAAACTCTACAGTTTAGTCAATACAGTTTCTACCTTGTATTTCAAATTATAGCAATGTTCTGTCCTGTAAGGGAGCCACTGGCCACGTGTAGCAATTTAATTAAAAAACTAAGTGTCTTAGTTTTGCTAGCTACATTTTAAGTGCTCAGTAGCCACATGTATCTATTGGCTATTGTGTTGAATAGGACAGGCATAGAACCTTTATCTCATTTCAGATAGTGCTACTGGACAGCAGTGTTAGAGAATAGCAGGCAAAGCACAGTTATAGCAGAAACCATTTCTGCTAATTCCAGTACAGTCCGTGCGTCTTACACTCTTAACAGTGTGAAACTCGAGATCTGGGTTTTCCAGTAACCTTTACTAGTCAGATGGCACTTTGTGCTTCCATTGTTAATGGTTGAAGTAATGACTGATGTTTTCTTTTGTTTTTAGTCCTGTATTTTTGAAAAAGTTGTTTTTGTGATTTAGATTAATTACTGTGTGCATTCGAAATTTGGTGAACTTTTAGGAGAACCTCATATTTGATTCACCATCAGGTTTAAACAGAAACAGGATTGTGTTTTTCAGTTGGACATAATTCCAATTGCACCTTTGCATTGTGTATTTTGGAATTGCAATAGTGAGAAAATTGTGATGCCACTCCAGTCTTACATAATATCCATTAATATTCAGTGGTAATGTTGAGCTTTAAAATGTCACTTGCAGCTGGGCGTGGTGGCTCATGCCTGTAATCCTAGCACTTTGGGAGGCAGAGGCGGGCAGATTACTTGAGGTCAGGAGTTCGAGACCAGCCTGGCCAACATGATGAAACCCCGTCTCTACTCAAAATACAAAAATTAGTCGGGTGTGGTGGCACGCACCTGTAATCTCAGCTATTGGAGAGGCTGAGGCAGGAGAATCTACTCAACCTGAGAGGCGGAGGTTGCAGTGTGCTGAGATCACGACACTGCACTCCAGCCTGAGCGACAGAGACTCCATCTCTAAATAAATAGTACCCTGTAAACTTAATGGTTCAGGGAGAAAGAACAGTGAGGTTTACCTCTAAACTACCAAGTAATTGGCTCATCTGGTCTCTCTTTTGGAAGACTTTGAGAAGTAAGTTTGGTTTTGCTTAGTTTAAAGGGAATAGTTGTTTTTAGAGGTCATCTTACTATGTTGATTTTTTTTTTTTTTCTTAAAGACAGAGTCTGCTCTGTTGCCAGGCTGGAGTGCAGTGGCACAACCCTGGCTCACTGCAACCTCTGCCTCCTGGGTTCAAGTGAGTCTCATGCCTCAGCCTCCTGAGTAGCTGGGAATACAGGCACGTGCCACCATGCCCAGCTAATTTTTGTATCTTTAGTAGACCCGGGGTTTCACCATGTTGGCCAGGATGGTCTCCGTCTCCTGATCTCATGATCCCACCGGCCCCAGCCTCAAAGTGCTGGGATTACAGGTGAGAGCCACAGCACCCGGCCTTATGTTGATATTTTATTAGCTATTGGAAATGATAGTAAAAATGAAATGGAAAGCAAATTCTCTTAAACTTTCCCATTTATTGGAAAGCAGTATGGAGAAGATAAGGATAAGGACACACAGACTTTTTTTTTTTTTTTTTTTTGAGATGGAGTTTCACTCTTGTTACCCAGGCTGGAGTGCAATGGCGCGATCTCAGCTCACCGCAACCTCCACCTCCTGGGTTCAGGCAATTCTCCTGCCTCAGCCTCCTGAGTAGCCGGGATTACAGGCACGCGCCACCATGCCCAGCTAATTTTTTGTATTTTTAGTAGAGACGGGGTTTCACCATGTTGACCAGGATGGTCTCGATCTCTTGACCTCGTGATCCACCCGCCTCGGCCTCCCAAAGTGCTGGGATTACAGGTGTGAGCCACCGCGCCCAGCGGACACACAGACTTTTAAAGCTGGAAGATACTTGCCATGGCTTTTAGCTCAAAAACCTTATATACACGACGTAGGAAGTCATAGAATCTACTTTTCTAGGTATATTTCCCTATTCACCTTGTATTTTGTTTTCTTCCATCATTTGTAAATACAGTTAAATACGTATAAGATACAAATGCAAAAGAGTTGTTTTTCTTTGCGTATTTAAGCATCAGGAGGGTTCTAGATGGTTTAAATATACAATCAGTAAGTAAAGCAATTTGTTCTCATAGCCAATCAATTTGAATGAGATAATTTTCTCTCAATTTTGTGCCACCACTTAATTATGGGGGTGAAAAGTTATTACTGCACTGCTTTCTATGAGTAGACGAAAATGATTTTTAATTGTAAACTGAAAATAATTTGTTTTGTATTTAATGGAATGGACACATGTTTTTTCCCTGAATTTTACTTGAATTTGAATGAATTTGTGACAATTGCAGGGTTTTTGCTAACAGATGTCAGTGTCATGATTTTTATTCTTGCAGTTGGTATGTTAAAATGTAATCACATATGATTACATTTTGATCATGTGATTACATTTTTATCAACAGATAAGAAGAGTAGAAGGTTGTTTAGATTAGGGATCATAGACTCACAGCTAGTAAGCTAACTGGTAATTGACATTGAGCTTTAGTGTTTAGAAGACAATAGGGAGTAGTGGGCATCATGGCAAATAGGAACAACAACAAGTATGTTAGTTGCTGTGTAGCTCCAGGCCATTGTTGCATTGCTGGTGTGCCTGGCATTTTTTAGAACTCCCCCTTTTTTTTTTTTTTAAACCAAAAATTCAGATTGCTAGACAAAATCACTCTCTACAGGAATTTGTAACGTTGGCAAGTTGGTAGCTACCATTGACAATGCTTTGGTTTTAAAAAGGGGCCAGTAAGGAACTAATTTATAATTGCTGTTTTAGATAAGTTTGAAGAAAATGCAAAACAGGATTCCTATTAAATACAGTTTTCTTCTAAATAAAACAGCCAGCATGGTCAAAACACATTTTAAAAATGGAAATAAAGCTTATATATCATAAAATTTGCCCTCTTAAAGGGTACAGTTGAGTGGTTTTTAGTATATTCACCAAACTGTGCAATCATTATTAGATGGAAAAAGACCATCTAATCCCAAAACATTTTTATCATTTCCAGAAAGAAGCCCCATGCCCATTAGCTATTACTCTCCATTTCCCCCTTCTCCCAGCCCCTGGCAACCACTAATCTACTTTGTCTCTGAATTTGCCTATTCTGGATATCTCAGATAAGTGAAATCATACAGTATGTGGCCTTTTGTGTCGCATTTCATTCACTTAGCA